AGGCAGGCCGCGCCGCGCCAGGGGGCGCCAAAGCGCTGCGGCCGCCGCGGGATAAAGCGCCTCTCTGCTGTGCTAGGTGGGTGGAAGATGCGTTTGTTACTAGAAAACTAGCCGCCCTCGGTCTCAAGTAATTTAAGACGTGGTGCTTAACTAAGGTTTTTGGCCAAAGCTCTGATATCCTCCAAATGTAGCGAAAAGTTGCCGAAAGCCGCTTGGAAATGTTTCATCCAAACGAAAACAGAAACAGGTCGGTATCTTGAATACTGCCTTCCTGACTGAGGAGGTGGATTATGAAGGCTGAGAGGCATACTGTGTTATCCAAGTTCTATAAAATGTTCAAAGGGAAGCTAACACCATCTCGCACCAAGGTGGACCTTGGTTCTGGTTTCTAGATGAGAACTTACAAAACGACAGCTGTACCAAAGGACTTGCTTATATAAGGCAGTCTCAAATCCCTGCAATGAGGTCTGTGCAGGTGTGCTGAAATAAGGTCATTTTCAGCTGGATGCCCCCAAGTACAAGTCAGTGCTCTGGATTCAGTTGTAGACTTGATTTCCCAAAATTACTTTGCTTTTTTTTAAGTGATCCATTTGAACGCTTGTAATGTGTTTCCTAAAAATTAAAATTCGGTGGATTTTTTTCATTTGTCATGTTTGTTTGTTAGGCCACGATGAGTAAGAGAGGGAAACTGTTTATACCATATGACTGCAGTGTTTCTTTCTTATCCTTTCAGTTCACTTCACTGGGTCACGCTTTCTCTAAGGCTTTCAGACCTCTGTTTTGTAGCCAGCTTCTTCCATGAGCTGATTAACTTGCACATACCGTCAAAAGTATTAGTTGTCTGTCTGTCTGTCCTGGCGTCCAGTAAAATCTTTCTGATCTTCTGTAGAACCACTTTTTTCTTCATGTTTCTCTGGCATCACCTCTTTCTGTTCTCCAGCCCAACAAATACAAATGTCTTTCTTTGAGTCCTGTGTGGTGGTACTCCTTGAATACTTCTACAAGTAAAGCTCAATTTTTTTTTATTTATTGACTGATAAAGCTATCAGCTCTGATTCTAAATCGTTCATGGCAGCACAACCAGTATAGCAACATAAATGTTTTTATGAGTGAAAAATGACTATAAGAAAGAGAAGAAAGGAAGAAATATTTCCAACCTGGAACCTGAGCTAGATAAATATTGAACTGGATTGCTTTCAGGTTTTCGGAATATTTCTTTCTCCTGGAAAAGAAATAATCAAACAAAATGCCCAACCTTTTCTTTTTCAAGTAATGACTTGCCTCAGTTTTGCTACCCAATATGTCAGTTATTCCCTATTATGCTAGCAGAAATCTTTCATAAAAGCAATGTGTAGCCTAAACAATAAAGCAGAAGAACTGCCCCATACCCCATCTGAGAGCTCACCGCTCTTACAGCCTGTTGATATATACTCAGCGTAGCTGCTAACTGTCCTCAGAGCCGCCTTGCCAGCAGTAGGCGGAGAAAGGGTATTGCCTGGAAATCACTTCCTCTGCCCATACTTAAGCCTCAGAGCTTCCAGAGCCTGTTCAAAAGGCTTGTTTAATCCAATATTTGTCTTTGGTTTTGTCCAGCAATTTACCACTACATCTTTTTAACAGCTATCAACCTCATTCTTGTAAAGCCAATATATTTTTCCTGTTTTACAGCCAGGGCGTACGATGTTTAGATTCACGCATTTTAGGCACAGAAGGAACCTGTCCTGACTATCTAGTCTGGTCTACACACAACCCAGGATGTGTAGCTCACTCAGTAATTTCTGCATCAGGCCTTGGACGCAGTTGAACCCCTGATCCAAGTTCTATTAAACTCCAAAAAAAAGTGTGATGTTGATATTACTGGGGATTTGGTTTGGCATTTTGGCATTAAGAAAACAGTTCAATACCACAGAGGGAGTGGGAGCTAGAAGTGGAATGGAAAAAAATAGTGATAAAACTGAAAGGATAAATCTTGGTTGCTTTCCCATGAAACTGTTAGGATGTGTAGTACTAAGGAAGACTTTAAATGTCTATGAAATTTTTGTCTCGTTTCTTGAGCTTATTTCTGGATGATATAATTTTTGTTTCTTTACCAGTCAGCCCAGCTGTCGTTTTGTAAGCACAAAATCATTTTGTAAAGAACTATAAGTAAGACTAATTTCCAACAGAAGAAATTCAAGAATCTAGTACAGGCCAGTTTTGCTTTGACCAGGGACATTTTTGCTTTTCAAATAGTATATGTTTGATGTATTTATATAACAGCACCAAACTCTAGTGTGCTATTCTAGACAGCTGTATTACTACATTTATTTATTATTACAGATGAACACTGGATAAGGGTAAACATTTATACTTACTTATAAGCATATATTTCAATATTCAGTTATACTGATGTCTTTCAGGCTATGCTGATTTATCTAGAGTGACTGTAGTCAGTCAGCCAGCTCGTGTTGTCTGTTAATTTCATGTTTAGATTTCCCTGAATCTCACACTAAATCACCAAAGTTTTTCCCAGGTGTGAACACCTATCCACTGTACAGCCTCTCAGTCACAAACACATATTGTTCACCAGCCATCTGATGTTAGTGGAAATGTTAGGTATCTTTGAAGATTTCCTCTAAGCTAGTAACTACGATTTAAATCTTGTTTTTGAAGTTAGAGACAAAAAGTTCTTTGATCTCAGTGGGCAGTAGGATTGATCGAATATGCTGAAAATAGGATAATTTTTTTCTGGCAAGTTGTGACAGTAAAGCTAGTTCCATTTTGGGGACATTCTTATGCACCTTCAACAATGAGTCCAATCCAACAGGGTTCCCGATAAACTTAGTGTATGTCATAAATTCACCCCTAATGCAGAGTCCTGCTGAGATCTTTCCTTGCTCTCCCATTCGCTTCCAAGGGATATGCATCTCTACTTCCATCCCATTGGAAGCTGCCTGAATGGAGGATTGGCTTCTGTATGTTTTAGATGAAAGAGAATGCATTTGTTTAGTTTATCATGTCATTTTCTGTTCCTATACAAAGCACACTGGCAGCATAGGAAGCACCATCCAGATTGTTCACATACATAGCTTCAGCACTTAACGTTGCTATTATGAGCCTTGCATAAAGGATTTACAGCTTTTTACACTTCCCCAAAGTGGAAATGGAGATGCCCAGTATCTCCTTTTCTGCAGCCTTCTCACTACTCTAACAACTCTTATTTACACATCATAGCTTCCAGTTGAGACTTCACAAGGAGACATTCGACACCCTAACATGTTAAAAAGAATTTAGGGCTGTAAAATGTACTACTACAAATGAAAGCACTGCAATCGACTTACTGTCTTTGACAAACCATGATCAGCCCAGCCTTATATAGTGCAATTCGCAATGGTGGGGGTGTTTATATTCCCACAGAACCTACGGCAAGGATGTTTACAGGTTTTGCAAGTTCCTGACATAGTCAGGTGTCTAATGGTAGGGAAAACATTTTCCAGTAATCAGTCCACCTCAAGCTGTGATCTTGTCAGATTTCATAAGCAAAACGGCCGGGCCTGGTCAGTGCTTGGATGGGAAACCTCCAAGGAAAACTAAAGTGCTTCAGGAAGCGGTGTGGGTAATTTAGCTCCTGGCATTCTTCCCTCTGTCTGAATAAATATTGAACCAACCTCTCTAACCATGCTGTTACAGTAAGAAACATTGTGCTGCTGGTGGAAGATGCAAATTCAAAGGTGTCAGCAAATGGGGTCACTAAAGATCCCAAGATACTGTTCACGAATGTAGGGGTGCTCATTTTTGTGCTCTACACACATATTCACAAATAGAGACATTAAAGCTACCTAAAATTCTTTCAGCACTTAAATTAAACAGTGTATCCTATGCATTCTGTTCTTATTTACTGTTTCCCATCAAAACTGTCTTTTGGCAGAAAAGTGAATTTTTGATGAATTTTAAAAATATTCATATTCATTTTATTTTGTTTTCTAGTTCTTGAGTTATATGAAGGGGTCTTGAAAATTATCCAGGGTTCAAAGAAAATATAGTGTCTGATGAAAAGCTGAATGCCCCAAATCTGAAAACTGTTGGGATAAAACAATTTGAAAATCAGGACTACATTTCCCGATATATGAGGACTAGGAAACCTCCGGATGTGTGGTAGTGGCTCAGCACAAAGGAGAACGTGACCCATCATGGGAGATGTTTTCAGCCTAGAAATAAATCTACAGTTTCTGTGAGCCACCCATGCAGCGTTTCCAAACTGAAGTATTTGGTCTTTGATTTCCTGTTAGAAAACAACATCTTTTTCAGGAAGAACAACCTGTTTTCTCCCCACTTGCATTGCAGAGTATACTGCCATTTTTAAGAGGCAGCAGCATTCCACCCCCAGTATTTTTGCTTTTTGCCAGTGGACGATTTATGTACTAGTGTAAAAATCCACAGGTAGAGTTTGTGGTGTGGGCTGAGTCTGGCTGAAAATCACTGCTGACAGTTCAGTTCCTGTTGGTCATACAGGAGCGTGCTCCATGGTGTGCGCTTACTGACGTACAGGATGCAGCTTTGCCTATATTGGAAATTGGACCTGTCTGCAACCATCAGCAGCTGTACTCACCCAAGCCTCTGGTTTGCACCCATGCAGCAGAATCCCCCACTGGAAAAGGATGGCAGCAATCACATTTGTAGCAGATTTTTTCCATCTCTCGTAGAGCAGCTGGGGGCAAACACCGTAGGTCCCTCACGCTCACGTCAGCATCCAGCACGCTGATGTCAGCAAGCGGAGCAAACTGGGTTTAATGACATAAATGGAATGTAAAAGTCATAGTTTATAAAATAGGTGTACATCCATGATCACGACTGCCCACAGATCTTAGAGCTGAGCTTCCCTTATACATTGTACCAGAGAATAGGAACTTAAGATTAGGTCAGAAGTGAAAAAGAGAAAGTGCCCTTCTCTTATACCCACTAAATTATCAAAATTTAGTGAACTCTCTCCCTTGCATAGTAAAAATACCTTTCTTATACGTGCTATTTACCACAGAGTTCATCAGTAATTGGGAACAGATGGAGTCTGATTCCAGCATTGGCACTCAATGTCCAGCTCTGGGTAAATCGCTCGGTCTCTCTGTGTCCCTGTGTGTCATACCTCTTCAGCAACACCATCTTCACAAGGGTGCTGTGGGGCCAAATTCAGTAGTTTTATGAAGCTCCTTGAAGTCTTTAGGCTAAAGGAGTTACAAAAGAGAGTCAGCCAGGTTTTTGTGTTGAAGATGATTTTTTTTTTATTGCAAATGTACGTGTTACACTACTGGTAATATACAGAAATTTAAAAAGCTACTGTTTCATGATTACAAAACTTCACAAAATTTGTTACAACTAAAAAAATCCACCTTCAAGAGTATATAAATAGAATTTTGAGCATAAATAATAGTAACAAAATAAACAGATGTATGCATTCAATAAATTAATTATAAATATTGCATTGGCAATGAAGTGCTAGGTCAGAAGAAGGCTAGTATTTCCAGTAGAGTTTTTTTGGTATAGAAATCTCTATTATAAACGAACCTTTGGAAAGGAGTAAAATCCCTGAACCCTTTTCTCACATTCCTTTTTGGGAGGAGTTTCAGGTTTGTTATTCCTTTGTCAAATTGTTGCAACAGGAGAACTGAACTGAAGGTATCAGACATGCACCTCTTGGCCATAAGGTACCCACAGTCTTTCCCTGAAAGGTGAATGGTATGACTGACCCACTTCTGCAGTATTCAAGTAACTAAACTGTCTCTCCATTGATTTCAGCTGATGCAGAATCAAGCCTGGAAGGCCTTAAAGGAACTGCTGATGTTGGAAGGTAAAACATGAAAACTTATTTTGCAATCGATTTGACCTATACATCATCTATTTTCAGTCTTTCTCTCCATTTGCTAAAGACATATATAGTTATATACAACAGACCTTCTGTTACTGAAAACTAATTGGTTGGTACTGCTCATTCCCTACCTGACGAACATAAATATTGGGTTCTGTATACACTTTTACCCATATATAGAATTCTCACTAATGTTAATGAGGAGTCTATATTGGATGATGCAGCTCCTACAGTAAACATAAGTTAGCCTATAAAAGAAATCAAAGATCCAGTTTTCCAAATTACCCTTTAGCAATAAGGGAAGGAAGAAATATTTCCCCCTCTTCCCTTATGTCTTAAGGGAAGAAGAAACACAATATACAAGCAGAATTGTTTTTCAGTGGTATGCTTTCAATAGAAAGTTTTCCCAGAATGTTGTCAGCAGCTTTTCAAGGGACAGCGTTTACTTTAGTTCACATAACCACATTTGCTAGGTCTCCCTTAATCGTGTGTTGTTCCAAATGTTTGTCTTTAAGGCCTATGAACCTACAAGATCGTTAACTTCCCTGTGAATGAAAAACATTTGCTACATTTGCTCCTATGAGCAAAAATAACAGGTGAACATATGTGATAATGAACTTGGTATAGAAAAATTAGAATAATTCTGTCGTCACCACTGTAACGGAGTAACTCTGGTGAATTGGTTAAGCTTTTCTTATTTAATCTTCTTTTTTTCCCCCCAAATAAAGTATGGATAGGGAGGCAATTCTTTAGAATATAGCTCCTGAACAATCATATCTTCCAGGTACAACACATTGTAAGGAAAAGGCTGGCTCAATACTTAAATATAAAAAAAAATTCAAAATACTAGTACATGAAAAGCTAAAAACCTGTAGTATTCTGCAATATTTCTTTTACATCATATTTGTAATCGGAGTCATTTCTGAAAGCTCGGGCTCTTCACTGGAGACAGTTTGGAGGTGATTCCAAAGGGATCCATGCTGTCGGTTTCAAGAGGCGATGAATACATATCTGACTCGAAAGCCTGGCTATAATCACCATATTCACCAAAGTCTGTTGATTCCACAGGCACAGTGTTGATCATAGGTAAAAAGTGAGATAAAGGAAGAAAATCTTTTCCCTTGAACTGCTGTCTTTGCTTGGCGCTGCTCAAAGACACAGAGATCCCGTGTTTCTTTGATTTATATATGTTGTAGCCGTCTGGGCGTATCTCCTCTTCAAAGGAACAATCTTCGGTAGAATACCTGAGCTGAATAGCAGGGAGGAAAGAAAATCACAAATATGCCCATGGGCCCTATGCCTGGCAGCTGCGAGCAGAGAGGCACGAGGGGACTGGCAGGTGGGATGCTAGCCCGCAGCATTGCTCTGGGGGCAGCTCTTTCTGCTAGGGACCACAGCTGCTGAGACCAGCCTAAAGCTCCCCATCTTGCATGTAGCATGCATTGTAGATTATGAAGCCATTAAAAGACAACATTGGCCCAATCCAGACCTGCAGAAGTTAATGTATGCCTTCCCATCCTCTTAAATAACAGTTGAATGCAGGATCTGTGCTTCCTCACTTACTCCTGCTCTGAGCACAGAGAAGAAGCATCTCAGTTGCCAGTGCTCCTTCAGATAAACTGTTGTTAATTGCTGGCAGTATTTAAATGCAGTCATTGGGACCTAATCCGACAATCCTAAAGGACAGCACTTACACAAACATGCCAATCAGTAAAAAAAGATTAAAAAGATAACTGCCAATGCTTTTACTCAGCATTAATTGAAATTACAAAAAACCTAATTAATGCAGTATTATTTTCCCATTAGTCATTAGTTAGAACTACACATTTTATAACAATGCGAGTTCAACATTTTTATATAAGAATATATTTTCTTAGGTGTGAATTTGTAGAAATGCATTTGTGATATACCGCACATGTAGTATATGAGGACTTTGTATCACCAGGTCAGACCTTTCCAGGTCCTTTACATAATCACTGTATTTCTTACAGCTCTGGTGTTATTTCTGGTTATTTCAGCTATTACAGGTTACTGAACTCTTGGTCAATAAAAGCCAATTGCTGATTACATCTCAGTCATCAGTGATAAAAGTGTTCTTACATGAACGCTCTACCTGTCTAAATTTAACTTAGAACGTAGCTGATACTTTTAATTCCTTTCTCAAACACCATCAATAATATGGAGTACAATTAAGTGTGTAAAATGGGTGTCTTTTTAAAGGCACTTTTTAAACCATTCAAGTAATTCACAAAACAGCATTTTCTCCAAATTAAATTATACAGTATTTATCCTTCTACACACAGTATATCTTGGGAAAAAAATATATGTAGGATACAAACTGATGGTTCAGTTGTTATCTGTTCTTATTTCTATGAGTGGTCAGCTTCACTGATGACAATGATGAAATAAAAAGGCTTCTTGAGCAAGTGCACACTACAAATCATGGCAGTTATTGATTATGCCCCCCCCCCCCCATATCTCAACTATACACTAGGTATATAATATGATAATATAAGCAGTTATATGATTTCCCCTAAACTACAGGAATTATGAAAACGGACTACAGCATGCCGCATGTTTGAAATCAACTTTAGTCATCACTTTTCCACAGTGTCAGAGAAAGGCATGTTTTGAGTGTGCAAATGGTTGTTGAGTCCAGTCCTCAGGTAGCACTCTTGCCCTTTAGTTCTTCCACTCCTGAACACAGTGCTGATAAGGGTACAAATTTCTCCACGGAGCTTGTCTGCCCTGGCCAATAGTGGAGGGGCGATAGCAGGTGTTGTGAACAACCTGATTTCTCACCTTCAGCCTGAACTGGGTACAGTCCCAGGCAGTGTTTCTTTGGCAGTCAGTGGGATATAGTTAGTGTAGGGGTATACGCTAGAAGCCATTTCTTTCTCATTTCCGATAACGCAGGCAGACCTCAGAGCAAAGGGTCCATACAAGAGGGGAGCTGCATCTCTCAAGAGAAAGCTTTTCTGCATGTGTCTAATTCTGCTCACTTTACTTCTGTGAATGTTGTCACTGAAGTAGACAAAACTGTGTTTGAGAATAAAACATACAGAACCTGTCCACAATGCATAGTCTGATGGCAAGGATACATGCCATTGTATTTTTTAAAAAGCATGTAATTAATACTATACATCCGTAAACACAGTATCAGTCAAGGGTTATTCACAAGCTTTCAAAATGCCATTACAAGAAAGCTATTTGTAAATTGTGCAGTCACTAAAGATCCAGTCTGCAGCTCCAGTGGGAGCAGGATCCAGGCTTTGCTTAGTTTTTACTGATCATTTTGGTCTGGATATACATTAAAACTTTAAGCTAATAATTCACTTACCGTCCAGACCATCTGAACCTCAAGACCTGTGCACCTTATCAGTGCATTGATTGTCTGACTCTAGCCAACAAAAGCAAGGAAATGCAGAAAGAAAGACTTCATCCTATGTTACGGACTAGAGGAATAATATCACTTGCTCTTATTAGAGATATTGGGAGTTTTGACAATGGGCCAAGTCCTTGCCGTATTGATACCAGCAGAAATTTTGCTAGAGTAATCAAAGCAGAATCAAACAGTGTATTTACTATGGCTGGTAAAAAATACTGCCTTCTATCTGTGAAACTCAGTTTTCTCTAAAGCAGTTACACAAAGACTGAACTTGAATCTTACCCTTTACATTCTGGAGTTGGCAATATATGTGACTTACAAAGCCACCGTTTATGTCGTTGATAATGTTTAGCTGATATGCTGACACACTAGGTGAAAAGCATGAGCTAGCAACATTGCATCAGAAGGTCGCTAAGTGTCCTCAGCCTCTAAGTGTCCCAGAAGTGTGCTGCTGCAGGTCTCAAGGACCAAGTGAGACAGGGGAGGAGAGTCCTCTCCCCCCTGAAGTCCTGTTTCTATCTGATACTTAAGGAGAGAGCAACCATGTGAGTGCACCTCTGCTCCCAAGGAGCACTCTTCTTCGGAATTATTAATCTAAACAGCAAGAAACTAATTAAAAGCAGTGTGTATAATTCAGACTCTATGGGCTGACTTAATCTATTTCTGTGGTAGAAGCAAAGCTCCGCACCAATGAGGGATTTTAAGCATAAATGAAATTTTGCTCTATATTGTATTTTCAGTCTCTTCTGGGGACGTGTAACACGTAATGGAAATAGTAGATTATTCGCGTTAGAAAACTGATTTTTTCGTGCTGCGCTCTTCTAATAACCATGGTGGCCTTTTAGGCAGTAAGAGTGACAAAATCAGGGTCTTAAGGGGGGGAGGGGGGGGTCGGAAGCTTTGTTCG